CCCTAAGCCTAAGCGGGGCGAAGTAGCAATGTCTGTTATTTTTCATGTCCGTATCATTAATGTCCAAGTTTTCTGTTTCCGAGTTCGTTTGCGTATAATCCAAGCTAGTGATAACGACCGGTGTGGCGAGCTTACCCACACCTGCCGGATCTGTGGTTTCCAAGGCCACTGTATCAGTACCATCATTTTTGAGTTTACGTGTTTTCATTTTTGTTAAGGTTTGGGGGGCTGCCCCAGGTAGCCCTACACCCTCTGGCCGCCGGCGGGCAAGTTCGGCGGTTGCATTTGTCGATGCCAGGGGTTAGAAGTCCGGAGTCGGCCTGCTCCGGACAGTTTGAGAGTCGCTTAGCGCCGGACGTGCGTCCGGTCGGGCGGGGTCACCACGACAAGGTGGACTCTCGTCGACCCCGGTGACAATTTAACAGTTGAACAAAAGAAAATCTGCTTATGACAGTATAATATCTAAATACAGCTTTATTTTAAAAATATATGAACTACATCCTTCAGAAATCCGTGAAGATGCAAAAAAATTGAGAACTATCTACAAACAAGATCTAGATGAATCCTTTGAAAATGAATGTGTTCATTTTCAAAGTGTATTAAAATTAACCACCAACCCTCCTAAAACCCTATTAGACATGAGTAAATTTATAAAAGAAAAACAATTCGTTACAATTTTTCCTTATGTTGATGTAGCTTTAAGAATGTTCCTTTGTAATTTGGCCTCCAACTGTTCAACCGAAAGGTCTTTTTAGTTTTTCTACACTCTGTGGAATAAAAAATTATTTAAGATCATCTATGTCTTCAGAAAGACTTAATAGTCTTGCAGTTCTTAACATAGAAGCTACTCTTACTAAAAGCTTAAATTACTCAGATGTAATAAAAACATTTGCAGCAAAACAAGCAAGAAAAAAAACTGAAGTAATGATTTTATATATTATAAGAAATTTGATAGTATGTTATATATTTTATATTTATTTTATATTTAAATATTATATTACCTAAATTCTGTTATTTTTTACCTATCAAGAACAAAAAACTGAAGTAATGATTTTATATATTATAATGTATTTAATAATATGTTATATATTTTTTGTTTATGTTATATTTTTTTAGTATATGACTTATATTCTGTTATTATTTTTTACATTTTTAAATATATTAATAATATTTACCAGGCCACTCCATTTGCTACTTTTTTTTAAATTTTATTTAAATACTAAACACAGGCACCACAAATACCTATAATTAGTATTAGTAGTATTACTTACCAACTAGTTTTAAATTTAATTATTAGCAAAGTGGGCAGGGGGGGCGCTAAAATTGTGTTGCCCACGGGCGCCAAAATCTTAAATACGGCTTTGCTAACATGAACATCAAAATATTGAGTTGTGGCTCCATCCCCTGTATATGATCTAAGATCATTTGACGAACTTTATTATACTGATAATAAACAATGATAATAATAACAGTAATAATAATACAAGAGTTATAATAATATATACAGGGTGTTTCTGAAATGAATGAGGAAACTAGTATATGCGTACTCAGTGTGATGACCCAATGATGATTTTTTTGAAAATTTTTTTCTACCTTCAAAATCTGGGTTTTTTCAATTTATTTTTTGAACATTATCTTAAATGTAAAAATAAATACTCAAGTTGTATTTTTTGTAAAAGCTCATACGAATCGAGGTGTCACATCATTTTTGAGCTTGTCGCGCGTTTTTCACGCTCGAACCGCCGATTAAAAATAAAAGGTGTGGCACATCGATTTGTATGAGAAAACTACAAGATAAACAGTGGTGATAGTTATTTGTTGAAATTTAACATACACGATTAATTAACACATTGTTTTACATTGTCAACTAATAAAAATGATAAATAATAACATAATTAGGGTTAACAGAGTCTTATATGATCGAATTTATGTGTTAATTAATCGTGTATGTTAAATTTCAACAAATAACTATCACCACTGTTTATCTTGTAGTTTTCTCATACAAATCGATGTGCCACACCATTTTTTTTTAATCGGCGGTTCGAGCTTGAAAAACGCGCGACAAGCTCAAAAATGATGTGACACGTCGATTCGTATGAGATTTTTACAAAAAATACAACTTGAGTATTTATTTTTACATTTAAGATAATGTTCTAAAAATAAATTGAAAAAACCCAGATTTTGAAGGTAGAAAAAAATTTTCAAAAAAATCATCATTGGATCATCACACTGAGTACGCGTATACTAGTTTCCTCATTCATTTCAGAAACACCCTGTATATTTAATATAAACTAAAGTAAAACACAAAAAATATATAATAAATTATATAATTTATTATCATATTATGTCAATTGGGCTTAAATTTAATATTTACTTACTCACACGTAAATTTATTCAAACATTTCAAACAAATAGTATATTATC